TTTGGCTTGAAATCCATTGAGTTTCTCAGAACTACGGGTTTATATTCTTTAGCGAGTCTGAAAATACTGCAGACATTCGTTTTTCAAATACTTGGTATCTCCCCCTGCCCCAACTTTCCTTTCACAGCTCCAATTTCACACATATTTGGCTGCTTGAAGTTGTCCCATGGTTCAATAACACTTTCTTTCTCTCTTGTTCCTCTTCTTCTTTTTAATCTTTTCTGCTTCAATTTGGATTGTTTCTATTTCTGTGTCTCTACATTCACCCGTCTTTGCTTCCATGATGTCTCATCTGCTGTTAATCCCATCCAATGTATTTTTCATTTTAGACATGTTTGTTGTCAACTGTAGAAGTTCTGTTTAACAAAATTACACTTCAATTTAAAAATCTTTCGTATCTTTTTTAATATGTCGATATTCTAATTTTTTGAACATATGGTGTACACATATCTTAACAGTTTTCCTGTCCTTATTTAGTAATGCTAGGTCATTTGGGGATACATTTTAATTGTTTGTGTTTTTTTTCTCCTCATTATGGGTTTTATTTTTCTGATTCTTGGCATGCCTGGTCATTTTTTATTAGATGAGCAACATTATGAGTTTTATCTTATGAGATGGGGGATATTTTTATATTCTTAAAAATATTATAAAACTTTGTTCTGGAATATGGCCAAATTATCTGAAAGCAGTTTGATAACACTTGGGCCTTGCTTTCAGGCTATGTTTGGTGGGACCAGAGCAATATCTAGCCTAGGCTTAGTTCTTCCCCACTGCTGAGGTAGGAACCTTTTCATTACTAACCCTGGCCTCATGAATCATGAGGTTTTCCACGCTGGAGGATAGGAATGGCTGCTGTCCTGGCTCTGTATGAACCCTGGGACAGCTTGTTCTTTGTCTATAAAGTGATCTGTTCTGTAGTCTCAGGTAGTTTCCCTACTCCCATGATTAATCCGTTATGGACTGAAACCATGAAGAGGGCCCACTGTAGTTCTCAGGTCTCTCTCTGCAATTTTCTCATCTTCCCTTCTCTATGATGAGCACTCTAGCCACGTTGGCTTACCTGGATGCCCAGCTCCATCTCCTCAAGTCAGGGAGACCGCCAAGTCCTTCTCTCTGTGTCACGGGCTGGAAACATTCTTCAGACAAGCTAGGCAATCCTAGGGCTCACCTTTTTAGTTTTCCATCACTCAGAGACCTTTGGCCATCATTGCTTGTTTCTAATCATCTTGAGAGCTACTGTTTCATGTATTTGTCTAGGTTTTTATTTTTGGTAAATCTAGTCCCTGATACTCCATCTCAGCCAGAAGCAGAAGTCACATTATTGTTTTTTCTTTTTTTTTTAAAGATTTTATTTATTTATTTGACAGAGATCACAAGTAGGCAGAGAGGCAGGCAGAGAGAGAGGAGGAAGCAGGCTCCCTGCTGAGCAGAGAGCCCGATGCAGGGCTCCATCCCTCATGACCCAAGCTGAAGACAGAGGCTTAACCCACTGAGCCACCCAGGTGCCCCACATTATTGTTTTTATGTATCTTTACATTTCCTCTGAGGCAGTCTCCAGCTGATCTGCTTTCCTGGGCTTCTCTCCCACATCATCAATACTAGTCTTGTTAGTGGTCTGGTTACAAAGCTGAATATGTTTTTCTCCATTTCCCTTCCATTGGAACATGTAATTTTTTGGTATGCAGTGTTTCTGAGGAGTAAGTATATTGTGGAAGAGCAGTTATAACCTGCACAATTCAAGAACCTATGCTATGATTGGGACGTTATTTTACACAAAACCAGAGAATATATAAAGACATATTTTTAATAACATTTTCAAAAATGAAACTTAATGGGCAGATCTTTGAGGGTAAATTTCATTTTGTGTAAATCACGGTGTTTTTGCCTTTCCTCTGGTGCCCAGCACATTGATCCTCAAGACCCTTTGTTGATATATGGGTAGTCAAGGAATGTATTATTTTCATTCCCATGATTATGCCTCGCTTTTATATATGAACTGTCTACTGTAAATTAGGTATTCTGCCAGGCACTTTACACAATATCTAATTCAGTCTTCACTGCGGCTCTGTGATTCGGAGATTTTGTCCCCCAGGGAAATGGATTCAGGGAAGATTTATCTTGCTCAAGATCTCACAGCTAGAAACTGATACTATTGAGATTCTAAACCCAGGTCTGTCTGATTCCAAAGTCCAAGCTCCTTGTACTGCTTTGTTCTCTGTTTCATGAAACAGGACAAAGCTTAGTGGTTCTTTTCTCTAATAGGAACTCTCTTATTTCCTTTCCTTCTCTTAAAGAAGGGTATTTTTTAAAAAGTGCTTTAGGACAAGACAGTCCAACGTGCAGCAGAATTAGTTGAAGAAGCATGCACCTTGAGTTTTCTGAATTTACTCATGGATCAAATTTGAGTCCAGGGTGATTTCACATGACTTTATTAAACCTGAAAACCAGGAAGAGATTATGTTCAATAAACACAATAACCTAAAAATAGGCCAGAAAATCCCTGGTTCCTTTAAAAACAACCTTATGGTTTCTGCCAATAGAGATACACTTACCCTTCAAGCACCACCCCAGTTCCTTCAGTCATGACAGGAAACGTTCACTCAGAGACTCTTTCCAGAGCTATGCAAGGGCTTCTCTTAGGAAGGGCCTAAACTTGATGAAAAATGGAGTTTTGATCTCAAATAGTTTTCTTAATAATGTTGTGGTATGGGTTGAGCAGGCATGTTCCCCGAAAGGGAGAGGATAAAATTATATTGACCGCACAATGGCGCATTTTACGGTCTCCCACATGTTGTTCCTCTGCAACCAGGAAGCTAGACTTCAAGTAACTTGGGGGTTGGGCTTGAGCCTGCAGGAGCTATAAACGGTCTGGTCAGTGGAGGTCAGTGGAGGAAGTCAAGGAACATGGGCCCAGATTGTCCTCACCAGGGGAAAAGAAGCCCAAATTCATGGACAAGGCCCAAAGTTTATCTGAATTGCCTTCCATTTCTGTCAAGGTTTCGCATCAGGTCACTGGTGTCTATCACTGTGGCAAGGAAGGATTATTTTTATTAAGCATTTTGTGTTTGCCTAAGAGCTTTAAGTCATTAATCATTTAACTCTTGCTCCCCATGAGACTTTTGTGAAGTAAATGGGAAAGAAATAGCACAATTCTTATTTCACAGATAGAGAAACTGAAGCATTTTTGTTTGCCACTATTACCCACTGAAAGAATTAAAGCCATGCATTAGAACATGGGAGAACCAGGCCAGTGTCTCAGCATCTGATGAGCTTTTGTTTCACCACAGAAGTGAGGTTTTCTGTTTTTATACAAAATGAACTTGTATATTTTTCATTTTGGAAGCAACATGATGGATACTGAGATGTACTGAAGAAAAAAACAGACTTTGGTTCCTTTCATACAGTATGAACGTTTCACGGAGTTCCCACAACAATTTTGGAATCCAAATATGTGTTTAAGTTTAAGAAGTAAAGATTGTAAGGCATTGCTAATCTTGAGTTTTCTAATAAGAAAGAGAATATAAGCAAACACATCCAGTGTGGTTGTGAATAGCCAATAGCAAGTCATAAAGGGACTTTGAGAGGATGGCATGGGGATTTTGCTGCCTGAAATGAATGTGGTGGGCTTCTTGGAGGAAGTGTGTTTTGAATTTTAATTAAAAAAGAAAGTCTTCAGAGATGATATGTTCTTCCACCCGGATGAATTGAAGTATCTTTCCTCTTCCTTTAATGAAGTGTAAACACCATCAAAAAACAGTCAAATATCACAAGAAGAAGTTGACCAAGAGGTCCACAGGGCAGATTTCATAGTAATGGAGAGGAAATGAAGAAAAGTTGTCTGGCAGTGAGAGCTATCAGATCTATTAACAATGAGGTAGTTCAGGAGGCAGATGGTTTAGGGTGGGAAGGAGAAGGGTGTTGGTGGAAGCCTTTTAAACCAGACTAGATAAAGCACAGAAAGATCACTTTAGGACTCAGCATGCCCTCTGGTGGGGGTAGGGAATACAGTAAGGGCCAGACTAATTTATTTCCTTTCACGTAAGGCAGACCCTGGATTCAAATCCATATAGAAACCATGACTAAACGTCTCAGGTTCCTCTTTTCTAAAATGATATCAAGAAGGCCTACCTTATAAGTTGATGAATGAAATTAAAAAAAAATGGTTGTGTTAACATAGTGCATAGAGCTAGAAGCAAATTTGGGTATATTGGGTCTAAAGCTTATATAATATTGGAGGACTTCTTTAAGAAAAAGAATACACAAGTCTGATTATAAAATATAAATATCTTATAAAAAAGATAGTAAAGTGAGTATTTACTTAGAATAAGAAAATAAATCACAACAAATCACTTTAAAAAACACAACAAACTAACAAATATCAAGATCGTCACAAAATTCAGGAAAACAACACGATGTTTTAATTTATTAGTTACCTGAAATACCTGTTTTTTGTGTGTGTATAGATATACATTACATATATATATATTTGCTCTATATTCTGATGGCCTCTTCATTTGACAAAAATTCTGTAATATATGTAGAGAATGAGAACATATTTTAACTTTCATATGATTGATCAAAATTTGTTTTCTATTATTGATAGTTTAGAAGAATTTTTTTCAGCATCACAACTTGCATATAGTGTCACACAAAATTTCATGATTGTTGTCAAATTTGGGAAAAGTTCTATCAAGGTTTTTCATGCAAGAGTTGCAAGATTAGGTAAGTCTTTCATGGGTTAGCTTCTGACTCTGTACATTTCAATTCTTGTTTCTCCTTCTTGGTCCTCCTCATCTTGGGGCTGGGCATTGTAGACAACACTCCGATCCCGGCATGATACGCTCTGGTCTCCAGCTCACTAAATGAATAGATAATGAATGATAAGAGTGTTGAAATCCATTCCTACAATGCGGGGGGTTGGGGGGGCTAGCATCAACTATAGACAAAAGTGATGTGAGCTACAGAATACTTCCCACGCCACTCAAGCTAAATGGATCTTCAACTCAACTCTAAAGCCAACCTACATGAAGGGAGATGTGGCAGAGGGAAAGTCAGTCACCAATTAATGAATTAGTGTTAAGTACTTTAATTTTATAAACTTTACCAAACATATAACCATGCCCACACATTGATAGAGCCCCTACCAGGGCCTTCGAGGGTCTCATGCCTTTAGCTTTGTGGTCACCAACCTCTATATGCCCTATAAATGTGCTGAACAATTCTGTCCCCCAGACTGGCAAGTATTACTCAAAATGAGCAAGATGGTAGCAGGGATTTAAGGTTACAAATTCAGGAGACTCTGGAAGGCAACAACTCCAAACACAGAGATGAGCTATGTCTCCTTCAGCAGTGGTGAATCTAAATTAAATGGAGTCTTGAGTATGTGATGGTGGCATGTCAGAAGGAAACTCTTTGTTCTTTCCATATTTTGCTGGGTTCCCCACCTCCCAACATCAGCTGGTTACATTTGAGTTCACAGCTCCTCTTTGAAATCGCTGTGATTTACCTGACTCTGAACTCTTTCATCTTTCAGAAAATCCCTTCTTGAAGCACCATGATCCACCTAGAGCACTATGATACCTGGAGGTAGTAGAGGTAAGCTGGTAAGTTTGTCAAACCTGCCTCAAGGCCACTCCATGTGGTCCTGGGCTGAGACACTTTTGAGGCTGGTGCAAGCAACGGGGAAGAAATGGGCAAGAAACGGGGGCCTAGAGGTATGGTGGTCATTCCAGAAATGTAACCCCTCAGAAACGTGCTACCCAGCCTCTTACAAGAAGGGTAAAACAAACAAAGCTGCTGCCTATTTGGAACATACGCTGGCTCCTTCCACATCTGTAGGACATTTAGCTCCTTGCATCTGGTAATGTTTGTGCAAATATAATTCCATATTCACTAATAATTCCTGGGGCTAAAGGCCCCCCCTCGGGTAACCTTGTTAATATTCTCTCAAGGCCTGGTGTGAACGCCTCATAGCATTTTGATTAGAATTCAATCTTGTGTTTTTTTCCCTCTCTGTCTTTCTCCCTCTCTCCTCTCATGCTTTTCTGGCCCCCGGTTTCCTGGCCACCCACATCAGGAGACATTCTCCCTCCCTTCCACTCTCCATTCTCAGTTTCAAGGAATTTCCTTGTGTCAAAGGCAAAGTGTGATTGACATATTTTTCCCCTCTTAAGAGCAGTCATCTCGGTGTTTGATTTAACCATCTCCTTATGGGGCTCGTACAATCATTACCTGGGTGAAAAAGAGACCTCCTGCTCACCCTCACGCTCAGACTCACATAGCTCAGTATTTTTGTAGACTTTTAAATTGCTGTTCTCCTTCCTCTTTTTTCTACCCTTTTCTTTCTTTTTTGGTTGGCACTAGCAAATGCTTCCCTGGTGTGTTGTACCCTGAGCCTTGAAGGATTTTAGTTGTCGGCAAACAGGTAGACCAGCTGCCTCCTGCCAGTGCCCTCTGCCTGCCAAGAAAAGCATTTGCTGTTCTTCAGATCTGGGGGAAAGAATGGATACAGAATGAGCTGTCTAGTTTTGAATTCACCAACTTTGGGCAGGTTGTGTTCCTTTGGTTCCTTAGTCTTCCAGCTTATTTGTCTCTCAGGAGAAAAAAATAGAAAACAAAAACAAAAGCAAATTGGCCATAGCATGAAGAATTGTATTTAAACCCAAGAGGAATTTCTTGGCAACGAAGTTCTTAACGTTGGAATGATTCTGGAATGCAGGCCCTGTCTCTCAGGCTGCCTTATCATCGAATTACTATGGGTTCTAAGGGTTTGTGCCTGAAGGGGATGAACTAGATGACCTTGGAAGGTCACTTGCAGCTTTTCAATTCAAAGGCAATCCCCGTTTTTTCAGTGAAGGACCACACTTTTAAGTATTGGAGCAGACTCTGTCTTGAGAGGTTTGCTCGTGCCTCTCTCCAGCATCCTGAATCACATCTCCTACCCTGATTATGATAAGGTGCCTACTCAGAGCTCTCAGCTGCCCACAGCTCTGTTACCCCACAATAACTGCATTCTTAAATAACCTCCTTGCCCCAATCCCGTGGTTTCAGAAGGAAACCAAGCGCTAGAAGATAGAGCCTTGGATTGGTAGGAACAAAGTCGATTTTTTTTTTCCTGCAGGAATTTCAGCAGTAAAGATAGTTCTAATAAAATGCTATCTGTATATAGCTATACTACCTTAACTCATTGTCCAAAGCATTCAGTGTGACATTTCACTTTTAATCGGGAATAATGACCTGTGATAGCGATTACTAAAAGCACTCTTATTAATAGAGCATGACATAAGTACTTGCTGGTCATAATTATCATCTGTGTTATGGTAAACAAAGCATAATGCCAACCAAGCAAAGCATGCATATGTTCTTATGTCGAGAGTAGCAGCAGTATGTGTACTATAAATTGTGCTTTGATTGACATTATATCTCATTGCTTTAGGAAAATTTGGCTGAAGAGGAAATGCCAGTACTCCCCATTATGTAAACACTCATAAGAATCCATGTCAGTCCATGGTCCTCCCAGACCAGTATCTGAGTCTGAAAGTAGAATGATGGTATTGTATGTGAAAAGTCATGATTACCCTAAAAAACACTGGCTCAAAAAGGTTGGAATGGACTCTACGACATTTGTAGATTATAATCTCCTATTAGAGTTCCAAGAGCCACTCACTGAAGTCAGGACCCACAAGAACGCATGTGGTCCATAATGTCTCTCAATCTTTTCTGTACCCAATTTATATTTTCATTCTGTAGGGAAGGAGTGGTACTTCCTTTTGTGTGTTGTATATCTGCTTCTTTCAGACTCAAATTTCACCATGTCTGGTATTCCCAAATTTGGTTAAAGAATCTATGACTCTCCATTTCTTTATCCTCCATAACCTGGAAAACTTTAATCAGATTTTTACTGCACTCTCCACCCATCCACTCATTCCCTCCACCACTACTTTCATCTTTTCAGATGGATAATTAGAAGCTTTCAAAGCTTGTCCTCATGTAGAATCCCTTCCTCTCTTCCTAAATGTTGTAGTTGATGATGTCCAGAAAATTCTTTCATACCTAAATCATGGCGACTGGCATGACATATCTCAATGTATGCTGTTCAGGCTGGGATTTTTTAAAAAAAGATTTATTTATTTTAAAGAGAGAAAGAGAGAGGGAGAGAGCAGGAGGAGGGGCAGAGGGAGAAGAAAGAGAATCCTCAAATAGGCTCCCCACTGAGCATGAACCCTGATTTCATTCCAAGACCCTGAGATCAAGCTATGAGCTGAAATCAAGAATTGAACACTTAATTGACTGAGCCACCCAGGCACCCTGGGATTCTTTTTTTTTTTTTTTCCCCAGAAGAGAAGGTATAATAAATCCACACCCTCTTATTCAGTTTTTCTGCAATTTTTCTGTGTTTAAGGTAATGAGACCAAGTTTATTAGATAATCACCATTAATAAGTTTAATACTAATGCCAGAAATCTTTAATCTTTTGAGCAGTGGGAATAATTTTTCAAATGAAAATTTATATGGAATGCAAAAATATGAATATGTTGTAAGCTATGTGATATTTGGGGACCAAAGCCTAGCCCCTTTGGCCTCCCTCTGGTCTCTGAGGTACTCCACAATACTAGAGAGTTCCTCGAAACACGCTTTGAAGATCACCAAGCTTACCGGAGTGAGCATCAACCACTGTTTAAAAAGCTGGAATTTAGCCTAAAATGCAGGCAGCCGCATTTTCTTAACCAATTCTTTCTTTACAGAACATACAGTTTTGAAATGCATCCTTTGTTTCGGGTCATGCAAATGTCCTTTGGGCTCACCTGTCCGTGGTTGTAAATGAGCTCACATGCATAGTGTGGCACGGAGCTCACCCTCACCTGCACAACAGCAATCCCAGCCCGCTTCTGAGGAGTTCCTACCCTCTTATGTTTCTCAGGGAGCCTCTAAAAGGGGTCTTGCTTGTGTCCCCCTCATCAGCAAGGACCACTTCGATCCAGGGGCTGAGTCTGAAGGCACTCCACTGCTGCAGAAAGCTCTGTGTGGTTCTGCACAGCCAGGGCTGTCTCTTGGGTCGCTGTGGAGATCAACACCATAGCCTCTGGGTGCCACTCTCGCCTCTGCCCAAGAGCGGACACACACCCTTTCTTGAAGGCCTCACAGCACAGCCAAGAACAGACGGTAACACTTAATGTCACTTTTGGTATAGCCCCAGACAGAACGAAAAGGGAGCACACACCAAAATCATCCTTCAGCTGGCAGCTAGCCATCCTTAAGTGGTCCGCTACAGGACACACTTCTGCCCTGATACTTCAGAAAAACTTTCCACCCCATATCCATTCTCTCCTTGTTTTGTTACAGAAAAACAATTTTATTTGAGATGGTGATGAACCATGCTAAAAGGATGTCATTCCCAGTCGTTCTTGCAGCTAGGTATGGTCACAAGCCTGAGTTCTGGCTAAGCCAATCGAAGTGGGCTTCTGGAAAATCTCCTTGCAGGGGCTGGTCAAACTGGGAGATGCTTCCCTTTTCCCTTCCTGCTGCCTGAAATGAGTGTGAGTGCCATGACATGCGTTATGGCAACCATATTGGAACATGAGGCAGTCTTGAGGCTTCAAGGCAAATGCTGAGGATGGTAGAGTGGAAGGACAGTGGAGTCACTGACTACCTGGGGAAGTTACCATAGTATCCTTGGAAGAATCACTTCTGGACTTCTTTGTGTGTGTTTGGGTATTCTGAAATCTGTAGGCAAACCTAATCATGGCATAGCTGCCAGGAGTCTGCTTTCTTCCCTTGCTACTGGGTGTGCTTTTCTCCTGACCTGGTTGCATATGGCAGAGTCCGGCTCCTACCCATTATGTGGGAAAGCCCTTTAGCATGCTAGCCTCCCCAGGGCCTCTTCCTCAGAGAACCAGAGCCCAGAAAGAAGTCATTTTCTCCTTATCCACAGTCTAGGACCCAACTGCCAATTTTTCATCTCCTCACCCAGAAGACTTTTTAGGATAATTGAGAATTATACTTATTATTCCTTCAGACCCTCTTATTCTCCCCACAGGGGTGTGGCCTCACCTGCTGCTGCCCACAGTAAGCACATCGGGCCCAGTTTCCGCCACAGCTCAGTTCCTTCGTCTGATAAATGGGGAAAACTTTAAATAAACATAAGCCACAAATGGTTTTAAAATATACTCTTAGGTATTAGTTTTGGAATCCCTGCCAGAGTGCTTCTTAAATTTTATTTTTGACTCATCTTGGTTTTGGCTCATCTTGCCCATATGTGCATCTTCTTAGATACAGAGCAACACATGGATATTAACCCAGAGACACACAAACATACTGTTGCCTTTATACATAGATGCACACAAAATTTTTATATAGTCTACCACATTGCTGCGTTTATCCATTAGCATATATCCTGGCACATTGATACACAAATTCAAAGGAATTTGGATTGAGGTTTAGTTAATAGGAAATACAAGGGATGGGATAGATACAACAACTAAAGAGACCAGGCAGCTGGATTTTCGAAATGAGCAAAATTACCTCCATGGGACTAATTTTTAATGGCGTTGCAGTAATGTAAATTTTCCATGGGCTCCAGGGTCAAGCCTAATGAGA